TATATGTGCCGAGATTTTGTTGACGCTAAAAGGGCAAACAGCAGAGCAGAGCTGAGTTGCTGTGAGATTGAATTCGAAACCTGTTTGACGATAACGGTCCACAATGCTTGGGGGATAGTGTGGATGATGCTCATCATTATGCTAATCATGATGATGTCGATGCTGCCGACGATGCTGAAGGTGCTGATGATGTTGATGATGTTAATGATGTTAATGTTGTAGCAGCGGCATGTTAACAAACTGTGCGTGCGAACAACTCCATTAATATGTTGCATATGGCGGCTGCCTCTGTTGGACCGCCCAGCTGTCTCTCCGCACATGAAGCCACTGACAACTTATGCAAAACTATGCAAAGATTCATGGCGCATTGTATATTGGAGCCAGAGCGAGGCAAGGCTGGCAGAACTTTTGGGTCATAGCCATATGTTCATAGCGCTTGACGTCGTTGACTGGCTTGAATGATATACGAGCAGCAGAACTTGTTGATGCTGCACGCACTGCAACAAAGTGAACTTTTAAATGCCGCCGCTTCGCGCCTCACAAAGTCTTGCCTCTGACTTGCCAACTGGCCCACATGCCAGGCGCATTCAACTAAATTATTAATTTTGATTTTTTTTTTCTAGAATTGATTTTACTTGAAGTGCGATTTGACGGCTTGCGTCATGCATGAATTTCATGTGAGGCAAGCCGAAATTTGGGGCATGCCYCATGAGCTGAGCTGAGCTGCCAGATAAAGCCACAATCACTAATTATGCATAACAAATGAATGTGATTCACTTTTACCCATAGCAATGGCTTAAAGCTTACATAATTGCCCATGTGGGCGGTCATCGAGGTGGGCGCGGTGAGCCAATTAATTGAGTTATTTATTGGATTTGGCTAATTGAGAGGGTTTGCCCTAATATCCCGCAGCTCCAATTCGTTCGTGAGCTACTTATATTAATGCAGTTTCTGATCAACTCTGCAGTTAATATGAATGGGAAACCCAATGGAAGCATTTTTAATAAATAAAAGCTTGATTTCATAATAAAATATTTGCTTTGCAAAGCACTTTAAACCACTTTCAAGTTGGCCGCATTTCAGACCCAATTTCATTATTCAGTTACATCAATCATAACTTTYGTAGTTATTTATTTATAAGTTGCGTCCGCAGATCCTGCAGATACATTATATATAAATGTTTTTTTTTTTTTTATGTAGAATTTGATGAACAGTTGTTATGCCCTTGTTTTACCTTTTTTTTGTTGCCAAACTTTGAAGCTAGCACATTAATAATTTCATTTAGTATAAAGGTCATTGCTGTAAATGATTCATGAACAGAAGAAGCAGAGCAATATGTGTTGCTGTTGGCCACATCGCACAAAAAACAGTTAAAGCTGCCGCCGTTGATATGTGGGTGACACGGCGACCTCCCCTGTCAGCAGCTGCAATAAATGAATAAAAAATAATTTGAAAACAAATTTAAAAGCAAATAAGCAGACACTGGCTGAAAAATGATTTTCAAGTTGATTATATACACAAGCAATTGATTTGTGGAGATTTTGGAGCAGGCGAACAGGTAGCCAACACCTCGATGGCACCAGCAGCATCGGTTGCATGAATTATGAATTGAATATTGAAGAATTTGCGCAATAATCGGCAGGCAGCCTTATATAAATACACTATGAGGGTATAGCTTAGTCGTTTGATTTCCAGCCTCGTCGGCCATTAAGACAATCGAATTTGCATTAATGATATGCGAATGCAGACAAACGTCATTGAGGGCCTCCACGGCTTCCGAGCAAAGTGTTAGACGAGTGGCTGAAGTCTTTAGCCTCCTTCGATTGGTTTCGTTAGCTTGGCATTTGATGCGATTCGAACTTATTGATAGTGATATATATGATATAATCTCTTGGTTATGTWTATATATATACATATAAATGATTGACCTTATCGCATATCAAATTTGATTACCCATTTGGCTCGTTGGCATCGATTTGCTTATGCAGAGGGTCTTAAATCTAGCATTAAACGGCATTGTCTACGCTTGAGTATTATTAATGAGCAACATAAATTATAAATAAATAATTTAAAGTGTGTTAGTTACACTTTACGATCAATTGCCGTTGCATTTAGCAGGGCGTTACCGCAAAAATTTCTGTCAGCCTTAACCCTAGCGCGCCCAGGTTTTGTCGACGCGCCCAAACACTGTCGAATGAAAGAAACCAATTTCAGTTGAAGACAATAGAAAACAGTAAAATAAAAAAATAAAAATTATAAGAAAAGATAGAAATAAATAAATTACCTAATATATTCATCATGAAAAATTAAATAGCAAATTGTAAAAACTAATAAATTATTTGGCTTAGTTTGAAGGCCATTGTCAAATTGTTTATAGCTCACGGCTAGCCTCGAGAGCGTTGTCTCCATCGAGAGAGACATATATTTAAGAATTATTGCTTAATGAATTCTACTATATTAGTCGATAGTAGATTGGTCCAACATGGAACTGGTTTCTTTGTAAGGAAGTTTTTATTTGAGCATTGCCGGAACTGTAGATAAGTTATATGCTGTGTGCGTGTGTATAAATAAATAAATATGTAAATTCAGMTGTATTCATAAAGATTACCGCGATAAGATATTCAATTCGGGTTTTTGGGTATGCACTGGCCAACTCCACAGACCGATGGACCGATGGACGGGCAGTAGTCGTAGTCGCGCGGGCTCTCTGGTATTTAGCTAATAGAAATTAAAAGCAATTCACTTTGGATTTATTTGGCTGACGTACGAACTAAGCTAATTGACCATTGCTGTCAGTAAATCCATTAAAATCAACTGGTTTCTGTCCCCTTCTTCATCTTGTTCTTCTTCTTCTCATTTTGTAAAGTATTGGCGCTGACATTTCTCAGCAAGTACGCAAATAGCCAATAGAGATACAAATATATATATCTACGTGCTTTGTGTGCAGCGTAAAGCAATTTGCTGCGACAAATGCGCACAAAATTGACTTGGAAGGTGCAGCTAAATAAAAGTAAACCGCAAATCCAGTTCGACAAACAGATTGTCATCAACATCTGACGCCTGACAGACCCGAAAAAATAAACTTGACTGAAAACAAGAATTTAAATACTCATACCAATATACGTCTAYATATACATACATACATACGCCTTTGACATTTTACCTGCCTATATGACATTATTTGGTTGCTTTAATTTTGCAAACTAAACGTATCGAACCGGATCTAAAAGGTGTCTGATTTGCATACAAACATACAAATACCAACAACAACAGTAACAACAACAGTAATAGAAACAATAGCAAGAAGAAGAAGAGTGAATTCCTCAGACGAACTGCCTTGAGTGAGGCATCACAGCTATTTATTGACTCATCTCTGGTCTATGTAAATTAAGTCAATAACCAAAATAATAAAAGAAGACAAATCTCTATGTTAAAAGCAAAAGTTGTGGGCGTGCCGCGAATGACTCTGTAATGACAATAAGGCGTCAACATTTATCTTAACAACGCCATTTGACAGTTGTTCATTTGGGTTTTCTTACCATTTCAGTGATATGCATATACATATATAGAGAGAGATAATGTATATATCTAAGAGTTACTCATATAACATCTGCTCTTTTTCTATATTATTCACAGGTCGTCGCTTGCATATTGTTGCAATGCGTTTACTCTGCCAAATTCGATTCAGAGAATCGACGATTGATCGTCGATATCAATGATAAAAAGACAACGAACCAACAATATTATTCGTCAAACTTTGACACAAGTAAGTAATCACGTTTTACAATTTGTATCACATATCCACGCTTACTCACATCGAGAAACCCGATTCGATCTGAAACTATATACCAAAATTGTATTTCCCACACATCGAAATTGTAATATATTAGTTTGAACAATCTGTATCATCGTATCGTATCGTATCTATATATGTATATAGTTACATATATATATTTACATATATCCCACATCATAACGACTAAATCTATTTGCCAAATATCATTCCATGCAGTTTCTTAGTTTTTTGTGTACATCGTTTCGCCCTGTAACTCGTTAATCGTAGYTCAATTTGTATTTGTAATTTGTTTGTTTGATAAGTAGTTGACCGCAAAATTTATTACTATTACTATTATTATTGAGTAACTTTAAGTAATTGTTTTGTTGACCCGTCTCCCACCCACCGCCAACCTCAGCAGTTTGACCAAAACTTACACATTAATGCCTCGAAATAAAAAAGTAAACAAACCAAACGATACRACAAAAACAACAAACAATCAACAACAACAAAGAAACCCGCTATCTATGTAGTTGTTTTTTTTTTTCTTTCTCTTAATTTATATTTTTTACCCTTGTAGCTCAGCTTTACTAAACTCACCGTAGAAATCGTAGTCAAATTGTAAATATGCTCAAAATCAACAATAAAATCGCTCTATCTTCAATCTATCCTCTCTCTATCACTCTCTCTTTTTCTCTTTCTCATACACAAATACACACACATTTACTTTCTCCCTCTCTCTCTTCCTTTAATTTATATATATACATATATATTTTTATGTATTTATTTTGATCTTAGTGGAAAAAAGTTATACATAAAATGCAAAAAATGCTTCGCATAAACATACTCTTTCTCTCTCTCCTTCACCCTGTCCCTCTCCCTATCCCTCTCCCCATTATCCAAAACTGAAACCAACCCCAGTCAACAATTAAATCCCGCTAATTACAATGACAACAAACAACAAAGCAAAACAACACACAAAACAAACCCCACAAAAAACATTCTCTCTCCTCTCGCTCTCTCTTTCTGTCTGTCTAAATATATTCCTTCAACTTCATATGTACGTTATGTAGGCATATTCTCAACAGTTTCAGTTGCAGTTTCAGCGCCCAAAAGCAGGCTATAAATTGATGTTAGGCAGTTATAGAGTAGGTGCGTAAATTTCTACAACCAACTTCACAGCACAATTTTCAGCAAATCTCAAATTCTCCCTATCACACCAAAACGTTAAACTCTAAAACCATTATCTTTCAACCAAAAATCCACTCCCAAAATACTGAAAATTCCCTCAAAAAAAAAAAAAAAAAAAAAAAAAAAAAACCTATCGAAAAAATCCAACACAACGAAATATCATAACGAAATGTTAAAGACGCCTATCGATATGGCTATGATGTCGGAAAGACTGGAAACTTCCATCATGAGACGCGGGGCCCGGACGGTGTTACTTATGGTTGCTACGGTCTGATCGATCCCTATCATCTGCTTCGCGCCACACATTATGTGGCTGATGTACATGGCTACCGCACGGTGGAGCCGGAGAAACCAGTGGAGACCTTCCCGCCCGGTCTATACAATGAGACGAAAGGTGGTCCGTCTAAGCCTGGCATTCTGCTCCAGTGGGACCAGCTTTATTTCCCCATTGGCTGCGGCAAATTCATAGACGGTGCCGTTCCTGACATACCCTATTTCATCGTGGATGAAGTAAGATGATGCAATGGAATCCCATGCGCACAGTGACTTATGTGCGTTCGTCTTTCTAGAACAAGCACCACACCAGTAGCTCAACCGGCTCCTCAATTAGCATTCCACCACTGAAGGGTGAGGCACAGAAGAGCTATAAAATTATCAAGCAGGGACCGAAGGGTCTGTTCAATACGGGCGAGGGACATACCTACGAGGGTCCTGGCGATCAAGCTCCGTCCTCCCATTCGGTGGCAGCCCTAAGACCCGGAAGCGCAGGCGGCAGTGAGCTTTTGACTGCGATCACCCAGATTTGGGGCGGATTCAAATATTTGTGTTTCAGATGATGGAAGGTACACACCAGATAATAGGCCTTACGAGCATATTGTGGGCCCCCAAGGCGGCCAGGGCGGTTTCGGCCCCAATGGAGGATCGTTTAGTCCAAACGGAGGCTTCGGTCCAAATGGCGGACCGAACGGTCCGAATGGAGGTTTCGGCCCCAATGGAGGATTTGGACCGAACGGACCAAAAGGTCCAAACGGCCCTAACGGCCCAGCAGGTCCTGCTGGCCCAAAAGGGCCCAACGGGCCACCTGGCCCCAAGGGACCTCCTGGACCACCCGGACCACCGGGACCTCTCGGCGTGGGACTGGGAGCCCCAGGAAAACCGGTATATAAGGAAGGCAATCGTACTAGCATCGGGGCTGGCAACAACATTGGCGATGGAGATGCCAACGGCCCAGGTGGCGGTTCTGGCGTCGGTGACGGTGACAGATACCGCCCTGGCGATGGAGCCGGTCGCGGCAATGGTGGTAAATACCGCCCCGGCACTGGCTTCCGACCCGGTGACGGTGATGCTCATGTGGTCGGCAGTGGTTCCGGTCCAGGTCGTCCTGGCATTTACCGTCCCGGCCAAGGTACCGGTGTTGGTGACGGTGATACTACCGGACCCGGACCTCTGGGCGGAGGCGATAGAATCCGTCCTGGTGGTGGTGGCAATATCATTGATGGTAATGCCTATCGACCAGGTGACGGTGGTGCCTATCGCCCAGGTGGTGACCTAAATATCGGGGCCGGCTCTGGCGGCCGTCCGGGCGGGGGTACTGGTGGCTACAGCGGCAACCAACCCGACAACAGTGGCGCCTATACTGGAGACACCAATACCGGTTTTCCTGGGGCAATCAAATACACATCAGGTTAGATCAATTGAGACTTGAAACTGCACCGCCGCACAGATAGAAACATAAAAATCTGAACAGGTCGCAGAGCGGCTATGGGGGGAGATAACACTTAAGTAATTGATTAAGCATTTCAGATAAGTCTAAACGATATTGCCCCAAATGCAAAGCGGCCTGTTCATATTTTTTCTCTGCTTTGCTGGCATAGACCTAAGTTCCATTTAAGCAATATATTATATAAATTGATATATGATATATGCCTATTTTATGCTAATGTACAATTAATTATGTTCTATTTTAAGCAGTCTTGTTTATTTTCAGCCAAGAAACTTGAAACCAATATAATCTTAAAAACACCATTCTGTTACTGTTTCAAAATACACAATTCTCAAACTATATTATTCAGGCACAACTTTATACACACCCACACGCACACATACACACACAGCAGGGCAACTTTAGGGCACCCCATAGATATTTTTACTGTTATTAGAGCACTTCTGCTAAGAGCGCACAATCAAGCAATAAATATCAATATCTCTCTCTCTCTATCTCTCTACCTCTCTATATCTCTCTACCTTTCTTTCTATACCTGTTTCTCTCCCTCTCTTTACTGTCACTATCTCCTTCATCAGCTTTTGCTATCAAAGATTTATACTGTTTTTGATCGAAAGCCCATTCAATTATTGTTTATATATTTTTCAATTTATCACCGTATTTCTGTTTTGTTTCTCAGCTCAGCATTTGGCTGAGAAATCACGCACCGTTTCACCAATATTTGACACACTTACTCAACCACAATTTCTCATTCATGCTTTCATGCACCAGAATGAAGCACACAGACACTCATGCACACTCACGCACACACACACTCAGAGAGCACACGCCCATCCATAAACGCTCACCTTTTTGGAAGCCTTGGCACATTTGTACAAATATTTAATTACACACACTGTCACGCCCCCATACATGATGCTTGAGCAACGGTACTAACTGTTGATGGTTTACAACTAATATTTTGGTTTTGGAATTTGTTTTTATTTATATTCTCTTAAACTTAATTTAACCGTTAGTCAATCTGCATGTATTTTAGTATTTATTTATTTTGGTTTTGGTATCTTAGCACGCCCCGTAGTCGTAAGTTGTTTAGGTCTATTTAAATGCACCTCGTACCTAGCAGCACCTAGGGGTATCTACCCGTATATGTAGTACTGTAACGTACTGAATGCACAGTATTGTAGTTAGTCCTTAGCTAATTTACACTTATACGTCGTAGCACACTCTTTGATTCATATCGATACAAATGTAATAATCGTTTGCTTTGCATCACGTTACTCTTTATTCCCCATAGGAGCCGGTAAATATAATCCTAAAAGCGGAAGTTATAGGGGTAAGTTACAGAAATATTTGAATTTGTTCGGGCTTTGCTTATTCACATTTTTCATTCACTGTAGGTGTTAATGAAGGAAAATACTATCATGATGATTCTGGTAAATATGTGCATGTTGAAGGACCCACTGGACCACCAGCCCCACCATATGTGCATGTAGTTGGACCTGAGGGCGGCGTCGGCGGCAATGGAGGCAAAGGCGATGGCGGCGGTTTCGGTCCCAACGGACCCGGCGGACCAAAGGGACCTGGCGGACCCGGCGGACCACGCGGACCAGGCGGTAAGATAAAAGAATTCCTTAATTAATTCAATGAAACCTTATGGCAACTCAACTAATTAATTACAGGACCAAAGGGACCCCCCGGCCCACCCGGACCACCAGGTAAGTTGAACGTTTGATCTAACTTAAGATAAGAAAAGCTTAGCACACAACACTTTGGTGATTTGACTGTCTCGGGCTATGGTATAAATGTTATGCAAATTCTTATAGGACCACCCGGACCTAACGGACCCGATCGTCCAGGACCTAAAGGACCATTCGGTAAGCGCCATTTATTGGCATAGCTTAAATTGATTGTCTTTAATCTGATTGATTTTTTAGGCCCACCAGGACCTCCCGGACCACCTGGTCCCACACGTCCAGGCCCACCCGGACCTCCCGGACCACCCGGCCCTCAACGTCCAGGCCCACCAGGACCACCCGGTTTGTAGCTGCGGCATACCATTTGAAAATGGCTCATAAATAACTTTTTTTACTTTCCCATTCAAAGGACCACGTCCACCATACAAGCCAGATGATCCCAGATATTCGAACAAGGATCCCGAGGCTTACCTGCCGCCAGTTGAGGGTAAAATCGTCCCACATCCACCATCAAGCTCACAAGTCATTCAACCGAGTTTTAAGCCACCAACTTTCAAGCCAAATTATGAACATAACGATAATTTTGTGATTAAGAAAGTGCCAACTACTAAACCACCACTAACCTATATTCCTCCTTCTTCCCCAAATACCGTTCCTATCCACGTTCCTGCGAATCCCACACCACGACCACCAACCAAAATAATTACCACGACTCAACCAAAGGTCCCGGCTATCACTATTAATACGGAAAGACCAGTAAAAGGCATTACAAAAGTACCAACGGGTAATATAATTACACCTAAGATACCCACACAAGCACCCACACGCAGACCAACACCAGCACCGACACCGACACCCACACCATACAAACCAATACAGCCACAACCGCCACTCTTTGTCAACACTCCGAAGCCGGTGCCCGTGGTACCGATCGAACCAATACGACCAACGATCAGTGTGCCGACATATAACCCATCGACACCCAGGCCATTTGAGCCAGCACCGACCTACAGACCGACTGCCCGACCACTCATTTACATTGAACCGAAGCCGGTGAAACCGGTTTACGTTGACCGAACGCCAATCACCAGCAAGAATGTAACTCCACGTCCCTCTCCCCCATTGCATGTGACGTCGCAACCGCCAAGCAGCGAAACCTGCGTTTGTAATGCCGATAAGCCGCACTCTTCAAAGCCAACCTATACCTCCTCCACATCCTATCCCAACTCGAATCCGGCCTCGGTCGACTTTAACAAACAATTCACCGGCTTCAATGGAAACCCGAATTTCGGCAGCATAATGAACGCCATGTCACTAACCCAACTGCCCGTCGTGCCACAGGCACCTGGCCTGCCGGCCTTCTACCCACCCGACAAGATTCCTAAGGGTGCTGTGATCGCCTTCATGCCCGTGGTCATACTGCCAGCGGAGTACTACGCCAATTGCGATGACAATTCGATTCACACGCCAAACAAATATCAAACTGTGGATCCCTTCCCACTGGGCGTCCAGCCAGCCACGATACCGAGCAGCTTCAGTGTGCACTCAATTTTCTCAGGCGCCGGACCGAAGGATCAATGTATGTGCCCATGCTCCTGCACCCAGAATCTGGACAAATATCACAAGAAACGCGAGGCTAATCCAGCAGACGCACCCGAGGTGACAGCAACTGTTGAGGAGAACGTCAAGCCAGTGGAACCTGTTGCGGAGGCTTCCACGCCTGTAGATGTCAAAGCTGAGGCACCAGTTGCTGCTGCTGCCACGCCTGTAGAAGTCAAGGTTGAGACACCAGTTGCCGAGGCATCCACTCCAGCTGAAACCAAGGTTGAGGCACCCATTGCTGAAGCTTCCACCCCAGCTGAAACCAAAGTTGAGGCACCCATTGCTGAAACCAAGGTTGAGGCACCCGTTGCTGAGGCATCCACCCCAGCTGAAGTGAAGGTTGAGGCGCCCATTGCTGAGGCATCCACCCCAGCTGAAGTGAAGGTTGAGGCACCCGTTGCTGAGGCATCCACGCCCGTGGAAGTCAAGGCTGAGGCATCCACCCCAGCTGAAGTGAAGGTAGAGGCGCCCGTTGCTGAGGCGTCCACGCCTGTGGAAGTCAAAGCTGATGCACCCGTTGCTGAGGCATCCACGCCTGTAGAAGTCAAGGTTGAGGCACCCGTTGCTGCTGAGACTAAGGTGGAGCCTGTGGCAGAGTCGACAACGAACTAGACACACTACAATTGACGTCTGAATGTCTCCGAAACTCCCCTCAAATGATCCCAGTTCCCGCCTACCTCCCGCTCCCAGCACCACCTGTAATCTCTGCACTACTCCCGCAATCCGCAGTACCTCAACTAATCCCAATTGGCCAGTTAACCAGCGTAGTCTAAGTGTTTTTATTAACGAGATAATACTCTCAGCCAGTAAAGGTTAAAAAAAAGATGAAAGAAAAAACATAAAAAAAGAACTAAAACGCAAAATAGAAAAGAATAGAAAATAGAGAAGGAATCAAGTGCCCATTGAATGTGTTCATTTAATTTGCTTTAAAGAAAAAAGAAGAAACTAATTTTTTGCTCTTGCTGTAATCGAAATGCACTCTAAGCTTCCTGTCAATTATCAGCCGGGCCTAGACTATTCCGGACTCGGCTAAATCTTTTTCTATTTACTTAACTCTTTTGCATCTTGATATTTGGCAGTGGCGAAAATAGAAGGAAATGAGAAGAGAATTGTGAAAAAAAACGATGGAAATCCAGTAATTGTTTGTGACATGTTGTTTATTATGCATTTTTATATATATCTATGTATTAATTTGTATTTTGTTCGCCTTCTTTAGATTTTAGTTGATAGTTTATTTAATTTCTATTCTAATAATGCTTGAAGCGGAGAAATTAATTGTTATGTCGAATGTGAAATTATGAAATTAAATAAAATGTAAGAAAAATCAATGCCCATAGTTGTTTACCATTTTCCATTTCCTCTTCCACGCCAGCGAAGCCAAGAAAATATTATTCTTTTTCGGTGCCGCCCGAAAGTATGCTATGAATAAATTAACCAATTGCAGCTGGCAGAAGCAGCGAAGCAACGGAGCAAAAACCCAGACATATTTTTATACTTTGAACAGTTTGTAAATGGTAATTTGGGGCATAATGGATTTTGTTAAACTGCAACAGACAAGAGGGCGTGGCAGACCCAATAAGATATATTATATATACATATATAGAGCTACAATAGAGATGTCTGTGTCTTTGTTGGTTCGTTTAGAGAGAAATTGGGCACACAGCTTAGCTATAATTGAGGTCGATAACATTCATAAGCCTGAGTCAATAAGTCATATATATATCGTGCATGGATACAAGCAATATATTCGGATTTAGAACCGTAAATCGTTTAGGGTATCGTCTGGTTAAGTTTTCCCATTAAATTTCTTTCACAGCTTCGAGCAGACGGATTGAAAAAAAAAAAAAAAAATAAAATAAATAAATAAATAATTAATTAAGTCTCTTATTTTCGCAATTTAAATATGTTTTTGTAACAATGACTGTATGATGAAAATGAACTTTTGGGTTCCTTGCTGAGCTCTGGCCTGACAGTGAGTCAGACATTCACAAACAAAAGGCTTTGCTTACATTAGGAGGAAGTTGATTTAGTCGGAGCATTTTAATTTTATGAAAATAATTCCAGGTATGCATGTTTAAAAGTACATGAAATGTTTCTTTTCTGCGAGGTGTCTTGTTATCCTTCCACGTTGATTGTTATTCCAACTTGGGCTCGTTGAAGCTAAGTAAATGAATAATATTTTTTATGAATAATTTAAGGCAAGAACAAAACTCCTGTTGTCTGTTGAGGCTTGAAGCAAAAATGACTTAATATTCAGCCTCAAATAGACAGCAACTTGATTTAAGGCAAACATTAAAGAACTTTGCACATAATTTGGATGGAAGCTCTTGAGTGCGTAAGGTAAAAGTCGACACAGTTCATGAATCACTTTCAGTCCATAACTCATCAGCTCTTGCATAATAAGTGCAAAGCTAAGAGGGTTCAATTGATAACATTGCCTTAGGGTTCACCTTGAATTGCGTGCTACGACGCGCTGTAACCCAGTTTTTGTTTAGTTTTACGACTCTGACAAGTCAATATTGAGAAGTTGTAATTCCCGCATCGCCCAAGCCCAAATGCTGTTCACACCGTTTCGTTGGTGCTAAAAGTGATATGCACATCGAGGTTATATTTACTTCGAGCTTTATATGCGCTAATGTGGATGTAAAGTGTTTTACAAGAACTTTATAGATCGCACAACAGCTGCAGGCGGACAAAGAGCCAGACTGAATAGCTGAAGTCAAGCATCCCGTCGATTACAGTAGTCTTCCGACGAATATTCAAATTGGCCAATTAGCAGTCACACCTAAACGTTCCATGAATGAGTTTGGAGTGCATGGACCCAAAGGTGCCTTTTCTCTATTGTCTTTGCTGCGGTAAGTCGAGCAAAGGGAAGCAGCCAAAGCCGTGGCTCAATACCAGAATAGCTCGCAAATATTTGCAGAAGAGCCGCAAGTTTTTGGCCCCTGCCGCAGATTTGTCCCTGTGTGTGTGTGTGTGTGTGGGTAGATAATTGGAATTAAAGATATAGCAAGCAAACAATTTTTCTGTCTATAGTTCTCATAAAAAAATATATGTATACATATAAGTATGTATATGTGCCCGTCGGCCCACATGAAAGAAAGCGATCTGTGAACGCAGCCTAAACAAAACGATTTCCAGTTTACGTTTGTTTGTGTTTGCCAAAGCTTAAAGCGCAAATATCTTAAATTAAACTCACGCACTGGCAACAGACAAGCGACAAGCCACAAGCCACAAGAGACAGCCAAAATGAGGCATTTATTTTGTCACCTGCCCCATACAAATAGTAATAATAATGCATAATCAGCCGGCCGAAAGGTCGTTCGTATTATATAATTTGAGACTAAGCCTAGAATGCTCAAGAATCAGAAGGTAAGGTAAGTATAAATAGGTTTCAAAACTCGAAATTATATTTCGTGTAAAGAAAACAAATTAAATAATAAATTTATCTCTAATTGGTTTTTAAGTGAAAATAATTTAACATTACATTATTAATTTGGATTTGTAATGCCCTGCGGGCCCAGCCCTGAATACGTAAGTGCGCCGCCTTACGTGTCGTATGAGTAATAAAAGTAACGTAGCCGCCACGTTTTAGCTGGTGTGCGAAGTGCGACTTGACGCTGGGCCAAGCTTATTTTATTATTGTTTCGGTTTGTTTGTTTCGGCAACGTCGACGTAGACGTCGACTTGAGCGCAGCAACTCAGCTGGAAAATGAAAAATATAAATTGGCCCCGCAGTCTGGGAAACAGAATTATTTAAAGTACAAGCGTTGCTTCAGCCAGTTGTCTTTGCGCCGTTCTCTCTGCACATTTGCCATTCATATAGCAAAGCCAGCCAATTCATATAACATCATGTATGCCAAGTGCTGCTTACCACTTTTGGTAGGTATTCAGAGGGCATAGCAAAAGGAGTTTAGCTAATCCTAAAAGTGTGTGTAATTCATATAAATGTAGCTGCTGCTTCTGTGCGGTGCGATTGCCAGGAGTGAGCCGGTGCCGGCGACACAGGATGTCAAAGCGAACGATTTAGCGACTGCCGAAACTTCAGCCAAGTGTAAGAAGCGTCTGACGCGGAAACATAACGATTGCTCAATTATAACAATTTCCACTGCGCCCTTAAGTGCTGAACTTGGGCGGTTTATTTGGACAGGGCTCTGGCTATCCCAACTATGGCTATAATTATCCAAATTATGGCTACAGCACGGGCTACTACAATAGACCCAACACCGGCTACTATCCCAGCTCCGGCGCTGGCTATTATCCAACCAGCACCTACAACGGCGCTGGCTTCTACCCCAGCACGGGAGGAGGCTATTATCCCAGCACGGGCGGCGGCTATTATCCCAGCAGCGGCTACTACCCGACCACAAATATATTGGGCACATCGGGATATGGCGGCTACGGTGGATATGGAGGTAATGGCGGCTTAAGACAGTATTCGGGCTATTGGCAGCCAGAGTATAGCGGCCAGCGGTATCGTGGCTATGGCTACTATCGCAACACCGATCGCTATGGTCTGCCGATAGTCAGAGATCGTGATTACTATCGTGATCGCGGCAGCTATGGCAGCTACGGCGGCTATCGTGGCTATGACTAATGCTTAATGTCGTTGTCTTTGTCGCTGTCTTTGTGTTTGTTTTTGTTGTTATTTCGCTGCTGTGTATATAACGCTTTTGTTATTCATCATGCTACTCAAACTAGCAATAAAACTTTAATGCCTACTAATCTCGTTTAAGCAGCATTTTAATAATCCATCTGACAAGTCTCGTTTCAGCTGCAACAGACACATTATTATAATAATATAGATTGGTAATTGTGGCTGGGCTACGCCCAATTGCACGCTGAAATTTGTCATTCACTGGGTGTCATATGAGAGTCCAAACGGCATACAATTATGTGTGTGTGTGTGTGTGTGTCTGTGTGCAGCTGAGCTTAATGTGTGGTAATTGTTGTCTTAATCATCTTGTCTTGCCCTGTCATTGCGCATGCAAACCCCAGACTTTCAGCTAAAGCCTAAAAGTATGCTACGTCTGCTGTCAGCTTTAATAGCGAGCTCCCGCGTTGCCAACTTCTGTTAAAAAACCCATTTGCGTTTGCTTTCTCTCTCGTTCCAATTCACAGGCTTGGTGCGCACCACATACGGCTAGCAGTGCGACAGAGACAGAGACAGAAGCAGCGAAGAACCAAGCAGCAACTGTTATGCTTCAGCAAACACCACAGCAGCAACTCCAACAACAACACCAACACCAACTACAACAACAACAACAGCATGCAGTTGCAGCAGCATATAGTATAATAATAGCGTTATTTTCGCAACGTTAGCTCGTAAAGTTTAGCATGCACTTTATTGCAATGCAGCCCGCATTAACTTACAAAACAACCCTCGTATCTGACAAACGCATTATCACAGCGAAAAATTAAATAAAATACAAAGAACAAAAAATGAAGATAAAGCAAACACTGTGGCAGCTGCAGCTACTTTTAATGCTTGTGTCTTGGCTTAAAGTAAACTTCTGTTTATATTTTGATTCTTTTGTTTTGCAAGCGACACTTGAAGGGCGCGCTAGCAAACAACATCGAAGCAATATGCAACGAAGCGTGTTTTCACTCTCTTCGAACTGCGCCGTCTAAGTTGGCTCACACGCTGTGTGTTGACACAGCCGAAAGTTTCTTGTTGATAAGCAGAAACCCATTTTTTTCCCCGCTATGCAATGCTCAATAAAATGAAGAAAATATATGCAAGAATTTATGCAAAATGGCTCTTTAATGCATGAGTTTAGCAAGATTGCAGTGCAACGAACGAGAAGCTCTGGTATTCCGCATAACTATATTTGGGCAATTGTTTAGGTAGAAGCCAGAATATTTCGCTAATTCGTAAGATTGGCAAAAAATTTAGTTTGAATTTAACATCAAAAGGAATTTTATGTCTGAACATATTTGTATTTTATTGCCATATAATTATCTATTGCTTTTATTGGGTCTGCTTACAAGTCAAAGCTATATATATTTATGCATATCGATTTTTCGTTTACACACATCGACTTTTCCATAGCCTTCATATACTATAAATTGCCAATTTTTGTATACAAAAAATCGTATTAAAATTCCATTCGCAAAAACTTTCCGAAATTTCCAACAGTTCGTCTAAATAACAGCAAATCATTCAAAAATTATCGCAGCATTAAACACAAGCAAAGTCAATTTAGAATATACAATATACAATAATTACGGCTTCGTATGACAGCACGAATTCCGATCGAGAAAATATTCCACAGTTGAGTTCTTTAATCTATTATTGTGTGCGCCTCGTTCCATTCATGGAGCGCTGCGCTTCCTTCCGTGGCGCTCATAAAAAACGTAATGTGCCAAAGCCAACGATAAGAAGAAGACATAGAGAGGGAAAAAAACCATACGATTGTTTAAAACATTTATGTGTCCATAAAAAGAGCCGAAATCGCTCACTAAAATTATGATCAAATCGAACTAAGCAAAATGCTGTCGATGCGCTGCTCTTTTATTATTCTTGTTGTTTGTTGTTGTTAATGAAAATGTGTTTTTCATATATGTATATATTTTTTTGGGCCGGAGCATTCAAGGCAAATAAAAATAATTAAAGCATTGACTGTGCGCTGAGCGCGTGCTCTGTGGCGCGCGTAAAGTAAATAAAATGATAAAGAATTGGAATTATTTATTTGGCTAGCGGCATTAACACCGCAACACGACGCAACGCATCCAAATCTAATGTTAACAACATTTTAATTAAACTGCAATGCATATTCGGGATTAATAATCTATTAGCGCTGCAAATATTTGCCTGACACACATACATATACAAATAAATAGGTATTTTTAGTGCTGCCCTCGTGAATGTAAGCCAGGCCACCTCGGAAATGCAATTGCACTTATTAGCCCAATTATGCCAAGCACCAACGAAACTGCTCAACTCTAATTTCAATGCCATAAAGGACTCGAAACTTTTTCGCTTAAATGTTGACAGAACTTTAATGCTGGCTGAACCGTTTTCGGTTAGCCACGGGAATCGCTCGGCCAAAAGTTTCAACTGCAGCCGAATGTCTTGAACTTTTTGCAACATTTCAGAAATCTCACGACTGCCTGTTGAGGCACTTCAACAAAATGAAAATGTCTTGGCCAAGCTTTTTGTGGCTTTCCCTGTTTTGAATTTCACATATTCGTCCATTGAGCTGGCTCTTGAAAAAGATTGTTATTATGGTTGAAGCACAGAGAGAGAAAAATGATAGAAAATATATTTCCTTATGGCGGTTGCTTTGTCAGGCAGCAAACGAATTCAAATTTCATTGGAAATTAAATTGTTTGTGACCTTCTCAGTCACAAGATTATGCAAGACATTTGCCCATGAAACTGTGAAGTTGTGTCCGACCCATATCAAAAAGAAACCTTAAATTTGGTCTATACCCGGAACATATGGGATTCGCTTAAGGGCCGTAGGGAAACACTATGCAAAAAGCAGCGGTTAGCCATAGTGAGTTCCGAGTAAGGTATGTATATAGATGCTTTGCAGGAATCTTCGATATGCAGGGAATGCTCATTAGAAATTTAAATAATTTTGATAATCATTTAAATAATTTTTGCGTAAATTATAATTAAGTTTGTTTTATTTTTATGATGAGAGCATTTATATTTCTGACATGTAAACAGATTAAAATTCCTTGTAAAATATATTTATACGTATATCTATATATATATATATATATATATATGCCCCACTCGCCTCCGTCCTTTTGCATTTGAAAGCAAGAGCCCGTCAAGTCTGACCTGCTCAACTCACATTTCTAATTGAAATATTTTCATTTAAAGCAGTAAAAGCAGTCAAATGGCAAGAATTATATGGCCTATTACACATGCTGATTGCTGACAGATGTCTGTCTGAAATATTGCTTGACTTGCTAATTGTGAGAATTTAGACAGAAGTTGGACGGTTTAATGACAACTGAAGTTTATTAATTTCTCCCATAAATTTATTAAATACGTGTTGAAAGGAAATAACTAAAGCTCTCAGTAAAAATTCTTTCGACAGTCTTAAGTGAACCCCGAGCTCAATTTATTTTGAGGTGCTTCTCGTCACCTGTTGAAAAGCCATAGAAAATGGAGAGTGCCTGAGTGTAGCAGAAATAAACAAGAATATAAGACAAGCTGCGAGTCGAGCATTTTTCTCTCATTAGTTGTTCACACATTTGTATTTATGGCAGACTTGAATTAATTTTTTTATTTTTCTATCAAGTATGATTTTTAATTGGCTTAACTCGCTTTTGTCTGTCGTGGATGTCGCCTGGCTGTGCGTATTTTCGTATAGCCAGCTGATAAAATGGCATGCGAACTTCATTAGCACCTGCGCGAGCTGGGCGTGATGGAGTTGTCTGTATACATATGTATGTGTTATTCATGTACATATATGTAAAGGCCACGTGCCTGAACTTCTTGGTGCAAATCATTTAAAATAGGTGCAAATGCGGCTAGAGTTGTGTCCATTTCGCAAAACCCAACTAATACCTGTCATATAACAAAGGCAGACACAATAATCCTCTTTAAAGCAGACAAATGCACTGAAGCACACACACACAAACGCATATAAATACCCGTTCAGCATTTCACCATGGCAACAGCTAATCATATTGGCATCAAGTTAACATGCGCTATCAATAGCACGTGCTCTCGAAGACCCTAACAACAGGCTATAAATGGTTTCAGTTAATATCATATTTATGATTCTTTTTATTATTTTGACTTAGCAGGAATTGAATCAACTGCCAGCTGCATTCAAGCAGAATTTATGGATAATTGCATTCAAATTTAATGCGTTTAGTGAACAACGAGCGCTAATGAGGCAAACAAAGCCACAGCCAAAAAAAATCTCTTCAGCGGCGAAAAACAATCGATAAAGCAGAAGCTATCAAAGGGCAGTAAAATAATGAAAGTAAACATAAAAAATGCTGGAAATGCGAAAACTTAAAGATTGAAGGAAATAAATCTCGATTTCCATTAAAGTCTTTCTCTTCTTTTGAAATTCTCAGGTAGAGATCGAAAACGAAATTGTCTTACAAGCGTGGCAATATTTAGTGCCTGATACTTAAAGTTGATAAACAAAGAAATCGAACTTAATTTAACCACTTAGCACCTGGACCAACAGGTATTTCCCTATCAAAAGACTCTTTAAGCTACAGACAAAACATAGCGAAATTTATTTTGAATATGCGTAAATTTTATGGACTAAATGGTACCTTAATTAGTTTGTATTTAATACAATTGACAGGCAAATATCAAAAGATTTATGGCCTTCTGAATATTGGTTGGTCTTCTGAATATAGGCGTATTTGTGTAACTCTTTAGGGTACTCAAATGAGGCGTGACGCCATCAAAATGATGGAATTTAGATATGGCTTTAATCAACAGCTGATCACATTTCATTTAATAAATTTGCGTCGACGGCTTCATTGCGAGCATTAAAAAAGCTATCAATATAAATGATATCAGACATGAAAGTGAGTGAGGCTGTCAATTGAAACACTTATTGATTGCCGACAAAACAAATTAATAATCGAATGATTGCAATACCCTGGAGAGGTTTAAGCGAATAGAGATGGGGGGTATGAGTGAGAAAGAGACAGAGAGAGCAAAAGAGAGGGAGACAGACAGGCAATTGAGAGTATTGTACGGAATGTCTATGAACTGTATTCTACAGTTTAATGGGAGAGGACGACAGGACGAGGGTGAGAGACAGAATGGGAGCGTGAAGAATATTAAAATATCCTCTATATAATGCTGAAGAGTTTTCGATGTGGTGAGTTAATATAGGGTATAGGAGATAGCGAGAGACAGAGGTAGACAGAAAAAGAGAGAGAGAGAGAGAGAGAGAGAGAGAGAGATAGGGAGAGAGAGAGAGAGAGAGAAAGTGAGAGAGGCAGTAATATAGAGAGAGAAAAATAGAGAGACTAAGAAAGAGAAACATAGAGAGCGCGAGACAGAGAGACAGAGAGAGAGAGAGAGAGAGAGAGATAGAGAGAGTGTGCGAGAGAGAGAGAGAGATAGACGCAAAGCTAAAGATCGGCTAACTACATTTATTAACAATTTAATTGTATTTTAAGTAAAAATAATTAATATGCTAAAAAAAACCATGGCACACTTATACTATTTCTTCATACAGGGTATTTCGCATATTATCAAATGAAACTTGGCTTCTCAGTGTTCATATAAACTACCTTAAGAATATACAACACAGCATATATTCATATACTATATCTGAATTTTGAGGTCGAATTGGCTGTCTCTAATTATTCTAGATAACCTTAAAGATATCCCCAACAAATATTAGCTGATGATATAAGTTCATCGCGAGCTCTAGCATATATTCAGTCTAGTGCATAATACCCCTTACTTTATAAAGACAGTAGCCGCTGAGCCTTAACTGCCTAAAAGGCATTCTTTTAGCTATGCCATTAGGTAGCCCATTACACCCCATTCAACTATTTCATCCCGACTACGGGAATGAGAAGTTGGTTGGTTGGGTTTTCTAAAACCTTTTAACATATGAGTGTTGACCCATTTTTTATCAGGGTATAAACATATAGATGTAGTTCGCTCATTTAATTACCCAACATAAAGATAAATTMATGTTTACTTGATATTCTTTCGCGCAGATAACATTGAAATCTTTGGTCGATTGACCGGGCTACAGTCTAATTAATAAAATTAAAATAAAATATTCCATGCACAGCACAAACTAATTCACGATATCTATGAATTACTTATCACTGAGGCATTTATCTTCAATTATTCGATATTCGAATGATTGCATTGATATATGATAAACACAATTTTATTGCTATCACTCACTCTTGTTGCTGTCATTGTTCTTGTTGTTGTTCTTGTTGTTGTCTATCATTTTTTTTTTCTTTTTTGGGGTGGCAATCAAAGCTGACAACATGCACATAAAAAGTGGGTAGGTGCTTGGCGCAGATAAATAAATGAATACGACTTTCGCACGATTTTCGGATAGATATAAAGCAGAGACACGCCCAGCTTCCTAGCTGTGATTCTTGACGGTGCTGTTGTTGTTTACCGCTATCTGATTTTTATTGGTGTTCATTACGAAAATTGATTAAGATATCGCTGCACCTGCTTGTGCTTGCTTGCCTTTTGCTTGTACCACATGACGTATGCGTATTCTTGCTTTGCTCCGCCGCCGCCGCTGCTGCTGCTGCTGCTGCCGGCGTCTGTGTGTGCGCGCGCGCCAGCCTTTGTTTATGCTTGTGTGCGAGGAATCAATAGAAGCGCATACGCTTCTGCCGGCCCAAAAAACGGCTACGCAGCCATCAGTTGCTTCTGTGCGCTTTCATTGTGCGGTTGCTCGACTGCTCCGCTGCGATCGCTCGAGCTGACAGCTGCGTGTATTTATTATATATAAAAATAAAAAAAAAAAATACATAAATTGTAACACATCGACAAGATATCGAAGCGGATAAAAATCGAGGCATCACGTTTCTTGATCTAAGTGAATTATTGTGTCGCTGTTCTGTTTTTCCATTCATTTGGCATTGGACTTCAATTTGCATAGAACTGAGTCCTAAAGAACATAAATATACACGGACAGACACACTTAAAATTAGTATATGTGTGATAGTGTGACGCTTGATTATCAACCAAATCTATAACGAAAATTGCGTAAATACAAACCAAAAGCTAATTGCATTTGACCAGCAGCAATAGAATATTAGTTTGATTATTATTATTGTTATTTTTGTTGTGATAATACTTCGTATAAATTAAAACCCTGGCAGTAATTAATTTCTGGGTAAGTTATAAATTAATATTTCACGCCAAAAACTGGAAATTATTTGCCGGCGTTTCACTAATAATAAAATAATAAGAAAACATAAAATAAATAAAAAATTTTGCAAAAAAATAGAAAAAATGAAAAAAAGTTATATGCATTTTCCGTCATTGGCATCAAAGTGCATTTCAATGCAAATTAATTTTCATTACAATTAAGAGTATTAAATGCATTTGCGCGCTGTGTTTATCTAATGCGCCATGTCGCATACTAAACCTACTCGGACAGCTCGTCATTTGGTTAAGTATTCCGATCACATATCAGAAACAGCAAAATAAACATATCAATTACAACAACAAAAATAATAAAAACATACAATTTAAAACACATAAAATTCTCATTGCGTTCGACAATTAACCGATGGATGAGAAAATTGATTCCACTGAAATATTTATCAATGAATTTGCAGCAGTTGCGTGCCTTGCGGGGGGCACTCAACTATTCATATGTATGTATTCCTAGTAAAAGAGAAAATCAACATAGGGCATGGCATGATCTATCATTGTTTACTTTATTCAGAATACATAGGCACTTTATTGCGGATACAAGTTTGTGGTTTGATTTTTTTTTCGCGGAATTTAATAAATATTTTGTTCAAGATTTTGTTTTGTTCTGCGGAAATATAAACAAACTGTTTAATGAAAACATTGGAAAGTCAAGTGCCGAAAGTGCACTCAATTATATGCAAAATATTTAAATTAAAGGTTAATACTTATTGTTATTTATTTAATTGATAACGAACATTTGCACACAAATCATTTTCCATTTGAAAACTTTTCGGTTTCGTAAGGGCAAAGAGCGGAGCATGTACAGCTGTAACAAAATCAATACCTGCCACAACAAAGGGGAAATTTGTTGTTTTTTCTATGCCCGTGAATGAACTGAGTGAAGTATATTGGGTTTTGCAGTCTGTATAAAATTATTGCTACCGTGTGAGAGAGAGAGAGTTTTAGAGAGTTTTAGAATTTAGCAAGTTTTTATATATTCAGTATAAGCAGAATTTTAAATCAGAAAGAGAACTGCGTGCATTCTCCTGCCTTAAGAGCTGGTATCAGCATTTCATTTGTATTATAAATTCATCTCCTATTAAAACTTAAGCGAGTATTATGATATCGCATATGGCCGTTTGCAGAATTCTCACCTGTTTGGCTTTAAATATTAGATTTTACTACGTCAACAGCTCGCCATTGTTGCAGTCGTTTGTGCAACGTGTTGCTACACCCTTTCAGCAGTTAAACTATAAAAGGCCAGCCAAGCGTGAAGTGGAGTAGAGTATAAGAAAAAGGGATAATTACTATGAGAGTGTACGCTCAACAAACTGTAATTATGCGCTATGAGCATGGCGTCCATCTACGCTCCACATAGAGCTCAAAAGGAAATGAGTTTATTGAGCCATTAAATTGTAGAACAAGGCGTGAAATTTGTGGCTTTTGGCGTTTTTTTTTTTTTTTTTTTTTTCGTACATCATTTGTAAGCCAATTCGAATTGAGCACAATTTTAAATATTGTTCCATCACTCAGCCTAAAGCATCAATTGTTTATTTATTATTATTGATTCAGTCCTAATTAAGCTCGTTAAAATAAAAATAATTGAAAGTAGCTTGAAGCGTTTTAGACCATTGCATTAATTTTTAGGGATTACTTTTACCTTTAAGGCAATCTTTAAAAGCCGAAAAGTAATTCAAATCAACTTGCATTTAAATGGACATAAATTCAGAGTATTCACGTAGCCCAAAAATTCGTGGAAACAATTAATTTGCGTAAGCGATATTCCACCTAAGAAATACTTAGGCATACTTAGCCTTAACTCCCTTGGGATAATTAATCATCGGAGTGATTTGAAGTGAGTCGTGAGAAGAGTTAAAATTCCAGGAATTATGGCAGGCTTAGCGAGCTGCTTAAAATGTTCATAGTGCACTTGTGTATGCAAATATTTGCATGCCTGAAGTTCCTAAAAGTTCTACGGAGTATATATTAAGATAATAAAGGAATTTAGCTAATTTTAGTGCATTCATACTACCAGATGCACTATGGAGTACAGGATAATAAGCGGCAATAAATAAATAATTTAAATATTTTCATAGCCTACTTATTTGGGCTGCAATTTAACTCATTCTTTTTTTTTTTTTTTTTTTTAATATATTATTTAAACAGGTTTCTTACTACCTAATTTTTTACCTACCTAAGTTGAAGACTGCAATTTAACGCATTTAAAAAATGCTTATCGCATATGAGCCAACTTTCGCGTTTCAGGAAAAACTGCAAAAGTTGATAAAAAAAGAAATTAAAATGAAATTAATGAAAACTTTTACCTATGTGTGGGCATATATGCTGAATCACTTTAAGTGCTCGCTCGCTCATGAACTATTAGTGGCGAACTGCAAGCAATAAGTGCTTCAAATGCTCTACTTGAGGTGTAAAATATAAAATTTCAGGCATGCATATTTAATGTGAGGTGAGCTTAGCTGCGAAAAAGTTAATAGAAAATGTAGAATTAAATTAAGGAAAACTTTTACGCTTACTAGTAAATGTGCTAGACGAACTCTGAACCATAGTAAATGTTTAAAAATTGCACATATAAAATGAAAAATGTATATAGTAAATTAGGAAAAGCTTTTAGCTCTACTAATAAATGCAGCAAGCAACGGTAAATTTCCAGAATGCGCTGCAATAAATATATTGCATACATTTATTTAAGGCCTAATTTCGCAGAAAAATTAAAATGAAAATGAAAACGAAATTAAGGCAGACTATTAGCTCTGCTGGTGAATGCCCTTGGCAGACGTCGAAGCACTTAAAAAAGTGGTTCCTTTATGAATTATAAAATGCTAGCTTTAAAAAAGAAAATGCTTTAAAAATTGTTGTGCATTTTCTCTCCCACTTGTCAATAGACGGAGAATTCCTTTTTCTTTCATGCAAATTGGCCGGCGTATAAGCTGCTTTTAATGAAATTGTGAAGGTGCAGTTTGTGCTGCGAATCCTCGGACAATGTCATTGTAAAAAGGAAACCCGAAAAAGATCGGATTACGAATCGGTAATACGATTTAAAAAGTTGGCTCAGCC